TCAGACCACACTCTGTCCACGGCACCTACTGACTCCATGCAGCCACACAGGCACTGCCTGTGCACTGGGAAATACATGCTCCAGTGTTAGACAGTAAATGTAGGCTTGGGGCCTCCCCCCTCTACCCTTTCCATCCCTTCTTCAAGCTCAGCTCCTGCCTCATCCCCTAGGGCAGGGCCTGAGCTGTGGGAGCCAGTGGGGAGATGAGGCAGCTCCTACCCAGGACACAGAGCCTCATGGGGCAGCCTGGGATTCGCTGCCTTCCTTGTACTCAAGACCTGGCACCCACCTAAGTGAGCAGACACCTGGAGGGTCTTTCCAACTTTCTCACTTCCAAGACTCCTGCCAATTGGTTCTGGGGCTAAAGGCCAGAGGAGCAGACAGACCGAGGCCTCGAGGCCCTACAGGTCTCAATAAAGAACTCATGCCTTAGGAAATGGGGAGCCCCTGATGGTTCTGAAGGAGAGAAGTGACCTGGTCTGATTAAAAACATACTCTCTGGCACTCCTGACAAGAACTGCAGTATCTGGTGAGAAATGGGGAGGCATAGACTGGGGCAGTGGTAACAGGGGCTGCAGGGAGGGAACAGATCTAAGGACTATTTGGAGGTAAAATTGGTGGGATGTTGTGAGTGATTGTACAAGAGAAGAATCAGGAATTGATGACCTTCAGGTTTCTGGCCTAAACAACTTGGTGGGTGGTGATACCACCAGTTAAGAATATAAAAGAAGCTGCCAGGCGCTGTGGCTCACACCTGTAATCCCAGCACTTTGGGAGGCTAAGGCAGGCAGATCACTTGAGATCAGGAGTTCAAGACCAGCCCAACCAACATGGTGAGACCCTGTCTCTACTAAAACTACAAAAATTAGCCAGGTGTGGTGACACGTGCCTGTAGTCCCAGTTACTTGGGAGGCTGAGGCCGGAGAATCGCTTGAACCTGAGAGGTGGAGGTTGCAGTGAACCAAGATCACATCATTGCACTCCAGCCAGGGCAACAGAGCAAGATTCCGTCTCAAAAAAAAAATATATATATATATATAAAATACATAGTTTATATTATATATAATGTATATTATAAATATATGTAACATAATGTATTATATATATTTTATTATATACAATATATAACTGGTTTATTTTATATGTATTATATATTTATATATAAACATATACAAATATATATAAATTATATATAATATGTAATATATTATATGTAAATGTATAAAATATATATAATATATTATATGTAATATATAAATGTATAAAATATATTATACATTTATATATAATATATAACATATAATATATAAATATATTATATATTTTTATATATAAATTTATATATTATATATTAAACACTATATATTATATATAATAAAATTATAATTTATATATTATATAAAAATATACATCATATTTTTACATATTACATAAAAAATAAGCCAATTTCAGGACAAAGATGAGTTTAATCTTGGCTCTGGGGTGCTTAGGGGCACAGTCCAACTGGGAGCCAGATACGTAAGTCTGCAGCTCAGGGGCTGGTTAGGGCTGGGCTAGAGATAGAGATGTTTGAATAAACACCATGAAACTGCAAAACAGGATAAACTTCCAAAGAGTGTACTTAGAAATCAAATTTTAGATTGAGCCAAGTAGGCAGAGCATGGAAGCCAACATTCATGGGGACAGGAAGGGACAGTCAGAAAGGCCCAAGAGGCCAGGTCCCAGAAGCCAAGTGAAGAGTGTTATGGAGGGAGGATCAACACCACCAAAATAGCAGAGAGGACCAGAAGAACCAAAGACACCCCCTGGGCCTGGTGCTCCCAGAGCCAGCTGTGACCTTGCTGAGCACAGTTTCAGAGGAGCATGGAGGGCGAGGTCAGCTGGCAGGGGCAGGGGGTGAATGACCGAGTGCACAGAGACAGAGAGGAGACTCCACTGTAGCCAGGGGTGGACCTGGAACCCCTGGAGGGTTCTTAGGACAAAGACTTGAGCATGTTACTAGGCTGAGGAGAAGGGCCAGTAAATAGGGTAAGGTTGGAGAAATGATGGAGGTCCCAGGCAGTATTGGGCAGGGGGGATTGGAGAAATGGAGGTCCCTGACAGTATTGGGGGTTGGAGAAATGATGGGAATCCCAATGCAGTATGGGGTGGGTGGTTGGCTTTGAACAGGAACACGCTATCCCCAAGACTGTAGCAAAGGCAATCAGGATGAGTATGAATGAAGAATGATTTAACAATGGGGCTGAGTTAAGAGATCACTCCATTTTCTTGAAGTCATAGGCAAGATTTTCTAGGGGAGGGAGATGAGGAGACAGGAAGGTTGCCTAGTGGCCTCAAGAGTGAGCCTCACGGGAGCATTATTGGCCCTCATGGGGGAAGGCGGGGGTGGAGGCCATGCACCTGCCGGGGCACCCTCAGCCTCTGTGGCAGCACTGGGCTGCCCAGGGAGGAGCAGGGAAGTCAGGCTGGGTGGGGTTGGAGTTTTGCTGGCAGATGCGTAACAGTGGATGCCAGGAAATGAGAGGAGGAGGAGGAGGACTGAGTCAGGCTAGGTGAGGAATGAAGGAAAGGCCACGAGGAAGCAGGCTGGCCTCTCCATCAGCCTCCCTTTTTTTTTTTTTTTTTTTTTTTTGAGACGGAGTCTTGATCTGTCGCCCAGGCTGGAGTGCAGTGGCGGGATCTCGGCTCACTGCAAGCTCCGCCTCCCGGGTTCACGCCATTCTCCTGCCTCAGCCTCCCGAGTAGCTGGGACTACAGGCGCCCACCACCTCGCCCGGCTAGTTTTTTTGTATTTTTTTAGTAGAGACGAGGTTTCACCGTGTTAGCCAGGATGGTCTCGATCCCCTGACCTTGTGATCCACCTGTCTCGGCCTCCCAAAGTGCTGGGATTACAGGCTTGAGCCACCGCGCCCGGCCATCATCAGCCTCCCTTTGAGCCACACGAGGGATGAGTGCTGGCCTCTAACTGTGGAGACCAATTCTAAGGCTCAGGTTCCCAGGGCCAACTCCAACCAGTTGTTTTTCCAGGTAGGACTAATCTATTACAGAACAGCATGGTTGTTGGGTTTGAGGGAAGACAGGATTTCCGAACACAACAGCACCAAGTTCTGTTCCTTTTTTTTTTTTTTTTTTTTTTTGAGATGGAGTCTTGCTCTGTCACCAGGCTGGAGTGCAGTGGCACAATCTCAGCTCACTGCAACAACCTCCACCTCCTGGTTCAAGTGAGTCTCCTGCCCCAACCTCCCAAGTAGCTGGGACTACAGACACGCACCACCGCACCCAGCTAATTTCCGTATTTTTTGTAGAGATGGAGTTTCGCCATGTTGGCCAGGATGGTCTCAATCTCTTGACCTTGTGATCTGCCCATCTTGACCTCCCAAAGTGCTGGGATTATAGGTGTGAGGCACCACACCCAGCCAAGTTCTGTTCCTTTTACATCATAGGAGACACGGTGAAGAATGTCATTTCTGATCTTTTCCGTCATTGGCTACAGGGGTCTTCATCTCTGTTCCACATACCAGTCAAGCAGTGCACTTGCCCCTTGCTGGGGATCTCCGTCCTTTCATATTCACAGAGAGATGAAGCGTACTCTCCCATCATCTGAAAATCGGTTTGTGTGTGTGAAGTTGAGACATATTGAGATGTTTGGTTACTGGCTGAATCCTTAGTAAAGTGAACATTCACTCCTAATCTTTTATAAATGTTCATATACTGGACTTATAGTTCGGTTTATTTATAGTTAACAGCAGTTGTCCTGAAAACTACCAAAGCCAGGTTGGATCATCTGCAGGACTTACCCAAGCCTCAGAGAAATGTGGCACTCAAGGTTTCCCCCAGGGCATGTGGTTTTACAGGGGAGACCTGGCAATGTTAGGCACCAATTTCTGGCCTGGTTATTCTTGGTAAGTTAATACACCCACCTGCCACCTTTGGAAAGTGCTGCTTTTGTGTGCCTCTTGAAATAAGAGCATCCCCATCCTGAAAGAATAAAAGAGCCCACTACAGCTTCCACAGCAGTACTTGGCCCTGGTACGCGCTGAGTAGCTGCCAAGTAAATGAACCAGTAGAAATGTTGTCAGTATTAACTCCCCTGTCCCAGCCTTGTATTTGGGGGCACATCTATCTTTTGCTAGCCCTACCACAAACTTCATAAGTGGACTTGCTCAGGACCCCACAATGCACTTGGTCCTCTCTCACCTGGGTCTGTTTCCAGTGCCAACCAGTCTCTGCTTCTCCTGGGAGCCCCATCTGCAGGTCACCCCAGGCCCATCCCCTTTACGCTTCTGTCTCTGAACTTCGACAAACTACTGCAAACTGACCCCCCAACTCACGTTGTTCTCTTGCCTCCCACCCCTCTCCAAAAACCCAGCATGGGGGCCCACACAAAGGTTCTTAATCCATGTTTATTTGGACAACCCTGGGGACACCAGATCAGCTCGGTCCCTCTAGATGCCTTGCCTGGGTCTTGGACGTACCCTGCACCACACATCCAGACTGGAGCTGGTGCAGTGCTGGGCTCCTCTGGATGTCCCTGTTGAAGCTGCTGGCACTTTCTTCTATGGGGCAGCTCGTTTTCTGGTTGCCCCCACCCACCCCTCTCCTGATACCTATTGGTTTTCATTTGGGGATACTTAAGGGTTTTGCAGGGAGAACTATTTACTGTGTCTGTAGGATATTAGGATGAATCAGGCACTCCAGTTTCAGAGGAATCGCCCACAAACATGAAGCAAGTAAAATCTCAGGATAACTCCCAAGGGCCGGTTCATCATGCTCCTTGCCCCAGCCTACCCACCTCTTTCCTCATCAGGTGAGGAGGACTTCCAGCAAGCCGTGGCCTTGGCCTGAGTGCACTGTGGTTGGCTCTGCCACGGCCCACTGGACTTCCCAAGGCTCTGCCTGTATGGACCTAGCAAGCGCAATGCTCTCTGTCCCCTCTGGGATACATTTACCAGGACACTTGTGAAAAACTCCTAGTTCCCTAAATCTCTTGAAATCCAGCAAGTGAGAGAAATAAAACAATTTAATGATGGCTTCTTGATTTACACACAACTCTAAGACAAGAGAAGGACAAAATTTTCTCTCCATGCACTGGTACAACGAAGTTCAGGGACAAGAGGCGACCCAAGGACAGGGACTGTGGTGTTCAGATCCACGGTCAGCCTCTTGTGTCTCGTGTTCCAACCAACCATCTGGCTCAGCGACTGTGGATACTGGGGAGAGGAAGGACTGCCCAGCCCCCTCAAGTGCGGGTGAGGGGACCGGCAGCAGAGTACGCATGGGCACTCCAAGCCCCAATGGGAGAAGTGCACAGGGGACAGGGAACACCAGCTTCCAGGTGCGTCCTGAAGACCACAGTGGGCTCAGGGGGCCCAGCTCTCCCATCAGAGCTGTCCTCAGGGCTGGAGCTGGGGCTGAGAGGGAGGTGGTGATAAGAACCACTGCAGAAAGGAGCACATGCTGAATGCTGGGCCATGCTTTCCTGAAGTTCCTGAAGACCCAGCTTTATCTTCCAAGGGTAACAACATTCCCAAGACTCGGAGCTGGAAGGTGGCAAGAGTGGAGCCAGGAGAGACAGACTGCATCCACTCCTGAGGCCGCCTCAAACGTCTGCATTCCCTTCGGGCCTGCCTTTCCCCTCCCTTCCACCCCAAAGACCCAAGGAGACAACAGAGATCGGAGACCGCATCCCTCTTCCCTAATCAAAATAGTCAAGTACAACATTTCTAAAGTTAGGGAGGAGGAGGAAAAATGCCACGGGCTCTTAAAGGGAAGACTGGCACCGAGGGAAGGGAAAAGTAGCCCCCCGCTTTGCCCAGCCTGGAAGCTGGCAGCCATGGTGTTGAGGCCTTGACCCAACCATATGAACCCATCTAGCTGAGCATCTTGTGCCGATCGAAGACTGTCTTCCGCTGCTCCTGCACCTGCAGCTTCCACCGCTGCTGGGCACCTTCCACACGCTCCAGGACTGTGTTTGCTCGGGGTCCCCCGAGGGATGCAGCAGCTGCTGCCATAGAGCGAGCATCCTGTAGTGGGAAGAAAAAAAGAGAGGATCTGGCACGGCAAGCCAGAAGGGTCTCGGGTCCTGAAAGTCTGACATGGAAAGAACGACCCATGAGCGACCCCAAAGCCTGACCTTCCCCAGACTGGGAGGCTGGGCCTCCCCAAGTGCTGTGGGCTGAGGACCTTGCCTTGTCATCTGCAGAGCTGAACAGTGTGCCAGGTCTGCTGGAGGCCTTAGTGTCTGTAGCATCTGCAGGATGGGGTCCCTGCCCCTCCCTGGGCCTGGGAAAGCAAGCACTCCAGGAAGAGTAGGCTCTGCTGGGGCCCCAGTTACTGCCACATAGATAGCTCAAGTGAGGTTCCCAGCCTGAACTCACCCCTCATCATGCTCCATTCCACTATTTCTAACTCTCAAGAAGGATGCTAAGCATAGGCTTCAAGACCTCACTTAGGCAGAGGATTTGATGACATTTGTTGTTTCAGGAATGCACCGAGGTGCCCCCAGGGCTAGTACTAGGCTAGAGAACTCCCTTGCCCTCCCTGCCATTGCCCAGGGAATGGGAGGAAGGCCCAGGGGCTAGGGTCTGGCTACCCTGAGATGGCAGCAGTCTGCTCCAGATGGGAGAAGGTGCCTACTGAGGAGTCTGCACAGATCCAGATCCACGGGATCTTAGTTTCTCTGGGAAAGAGGGATGTGACATCACTCAGGGAGTCTGGCAGGGATGGAAATTCAGAGCCGCCCCAGCATTCCCTTTGCAGAGCTCACTCTGGCCCATTCCCTCCTTTGATAGCCGAGGACAGCTCCGCTTCCTCCCTATCTGCCTCTGCTGATCCCCTTCCCCTTTGCTTTCAGAACTGTTGCTGCCATCAAAAGCATCCTCCCCTAATTACCACTTCTCTGCCTCTGAAGCTCCGGAGCCTCTGCATTTCCTGCAGGACCTGAACCTGATCTTTGGAGAGAATTAGAGCTGAGGGCCAGGCCTGCACCCCCGTGGGGATTTCCTCCCTAGCTTTCCCTGCCTCTCATCTCCTGCCACACATCTCTTAAGGGATTAGTGCACTTCTCTAAGCCCAGAGCCGCCCAGTAAATGCAACTTTGCTTCTAATGCCCCAAGCTGGCACGGCTTCTGTCACCATGCAGCTGCTAGGCTGGGGCGAAGGGGGGTGGTGAGGTGAGGGTAGAGTGGACAGAGAATGAGCTGGCAGTGAGGAGGCTGGGAGAGGATTCATCATCATCCCCTTGGAGCTCTGAGGACTTCATCTCGTGAGCGCTCATCTCTAAGCTGCATTAGAGATGGACACTGCCTTCTGGGAGCCTCCCGTCCAGGTCCTGAGGAAGGCTTCCTGTGCCAGGCTAGGTGAGGCTCAGGCAACACCTGAAAGGCAGGTGTGGCCATGTCAGGCAGGGGGCACACTGAGCTTGGAATTAGGACTCCTGGGTTCTGTTCCTGGGCTGGGGACCACCTGCCCCCTTCTAGCCTCAGACTCCCCTAGGCCCGTGTCCCAGGTGGAACTACAGGTCCACAGCAGGGGCTGGGAAGGAGCCATGGCCTCAGTCACTTCTGAGGCAGCGTGTCCCTGAACAAGTTACTTTATTTCTCCAAGCTTCAATTTAATATAATAAATGTAGTCACTGAGACTTTTTTCTGCTCTACAGTCTTTAGGAATTATAGTTACCGAATATTACCCCCCCACACACACACACACAGTGAAAAGGAAGTTTCATAAAACAATACTTAGTGTAATACATTCTGATATTCTTTGCTCTGTCCCATTTTATTTTTTAAAAAATCCTGGTCATGACTCACAAAATTCATTTCATGACCTAATGGCTTGTTTGAAATACACTGGTTTAAGATTAGTAGATTAAACACCACACATATAAAGCACTTACTACCCTGGCTGTCACAGAGCTAGGGCTCAAGAGACCTTTGGTTTCTTTCTTCCCTAGGAGTGATGGCTGATATCAGAGCCTAGCTCTGGAAGCCAGTAGGCAGTAAGGCTGGCAGCCTGCTGCCAGGAGAAAGCCTGTGAGAACTGCTGTGCTGCTGCCCCTCCTTCCAGTTCCATGCCTTCCCTGTTCACTGTGCTGACTGAGCTGGCCACAGTGCTAAGACCAAGCCTCCACCCAATCCTGCCTCTGTGTGGCCGTCTACATGAGGTGGACACTAAAGACCCATCTGGGAAGCTATGGGCCCACCGGGACTTGGTCATCCTGGCTCTGGGGGCTGGATTGCCTTCTCTTCTTCTTTCCATTCCCACTCTCATCTCTTCTGGGACCGTCTTCCTCATGACAGGGCTCCAGTGTGTGTGGGGTGGGGTGCTAGGCTTGGAAGGGTGGGGCAGTTTTAGCCCTGTCCTCCTTCCACTGCTCTGCATCTCAGCGGAGCGTCTTGAGAAGGGGAAGCCAGGGAGAGCCCAGAGCAGAGCATTAAGGGAACATGCTGAAATTTACCACATTACCACAGTATCATTTGTTTTCCCTTCATGTAAAGTCTTAACAAACAGCTCCTAAGTGGGGGAAAGCTGTCTCTGAGAGGCTGTGTTTCCATCGCTAATAGTCTGATTAAAAGGTATTAAAGACTCCACATCTGTTTCAGAGACAGCCCAGAGTGAGGCCTCATCCTTGCTTGCTCTGCAGCAAGTATGGTGGGTAGCAGTGGGAGAAATACCACCAACTCCTCCCCTCTCGCCCTGAGTCTGGGCCTCCGGTTAACTCAGGAACAGAAGGGCAGTTAGAAGGGGAGGCGGGTGGAGCCCCTCCCAATCAGGGGAAAGAGCTTGGACATGGATGGGTTCCCAGGAGGTCCCCAGGGGGACCAGACCAGTGTGACTGTGACAAGTGCCACTACGTGCCAGGCGCTCTGCTAGGCCCTTTACACAGATTATTCCCAGGCTCACAACACTGGCAAATGGGTAAAACTATCCCATATCGTAGCTGCAGAAACTGAGGCTCTGAAAGGTGAATCATCTTGCTGCCCAAGGCTGCATGGCTGTTTAGTGGCCAAGTCAGAATTTGAACCTATGTATGTATATCTCTTATCCTAGGACCCAGCTGGATCCTTCTTTAGCTGGTTTCTCCTAAGAGGGAGCCAGCATGGACAACCAAAGAGATAGGTTGGTATCTTTCCCCACAGCTAGAGCAAGAACAAAGCACCTCTAAAGGAACCAATGCTCAGGACATCAAGCGAGGCCCTCCTCTCCAGCACTGGGAGGACACAAGTAGCTGTGTGGATAAGCCCGAGCTGATCAAACTAGCCCTGAGCCCTTCAGGCCGTCCCAGATGAAACCCTCTTCAGCCTGCCCAGAAGCACTGGTTCTGAGCTGGCACTGGACTTGGCCCAAGTCTGACCTGACAAGAACACAGGGAGAGTGAGAACCCCACCTCAGGCGGCTCTCCCCTCTCTCCCCCTCTCTCCTCCCCAATCCTAGACACAGGAACGTGACCAGGCGGTCTCATCACTTACCAGCCACTCAGCAAAGCATGGCCCTAGTGCAAAGCCCTTTAGCAAGAGGACTATACAGCCTGAGTTTTCCACGTTTGACCCAAATCCTTGCTGCTGTTGCTGCGTCCCACTGCATCTCTGCGGCGAGGCTCTCCCTGACCCCTGCATGCTGCAGCCGGAGCCACCTTCCTACGACACACCAACTCATGCTGTTTCCCTGCTCAAAAACCCCAGCTGGGACCCAGCTGCTCACAAGTAAAACCCTGCTGAGCATGACATTCAAGGGCACTCCCAGCCTCACCTCCCCGCTTACCCCCAAGCCTCTAGCTACACTGGTCCATGCGTCCTTCTCTCTACCTGTGGTGATCACCTCACTCAGGCCCTTGTGCACTCTGCCCCTCAGGCTTCCCTCCAGCAATCATGATGCTACTTAAGTGTTAACACCTGATTGAAATAGCACATTCTTAAGGATGAGCAAATACTTGTAAAGCTTCCACGCACACGTTCACAACAGTTATGCTGAGGTAAAAATGATTATGTCTATTTCAGATTTAGAAAACTAAATCAGGAGGTTAGCACCACGGATAGTAAATGGCAGGGCTCGGCCCCTCCCAAGACTGTGATTAACCACAATGCTGTGCTGCCCCACTGGAGGCTCTAGAAGCATCTGTTGAACTGCACATCTTTCTATTCTGCCCTCAGGGGAGGAGGCTGTCTGGACTGCCCTCATCAGTGTGTCTGTTCCGTGTTTCACTGTCAGCTCCCCAGGGCTGGGGTCCTCAGCACACAGCTGCCACCCATGTGCGGACAGGAGGGGAGACTGCTCCCCAGGGGCCCGAGTCTTCTCCCCGGTGCCTGCATTTCCAGTTCCCATCATCATCATCGCCTTTCCTCAATTTCCCTGTATACTCTCTCCCAAACGGGGCCCAGAACTCTACCCACTGCCCCAGGAGGGTGAGCACTTTGAAGACCTCTTCAGAGCTTGGGCCCACACTGTGAGCAGCGACATCCCCAGCCTCAGAGAAACCATGTGTGTCTCTTCAAAGAGGGCCCAACCTGCACATCTAAAACAGCTCTGTTTGCCGTTTCTGCCCCAGCAAACATGCTTGCTTCCTCCTTTCAAAGGACGTCTGAGCCCAGGGATTACGCCTAATGCTGCTGGAATCCCAGGGGAGGCAGCGCCCAGCAATCAGGGCCCACTGAGGCTCTGCCAGCGCTTTCAAAGGGAACATGACAGGCTTTCATCTCCCTCCATGAACGGGACTGAGGCTGAGGGGGAGGCCTCCCCTTCCTCTTCCAGTTCTTTACCTCCAGGGCAGGAGAGCTCCTGGCCACAAGAATTGGGAAGAGGGAGCCAAGGGGTCCCTAACCTGAAAAAATGCCCTGACGTCCAGATCTCACCCCTAACTGGGTCCCAAACTCCTGGGGCATAGGGCCTGAAAGTTCCTGGAGCCTAGGGAGACTTTTCCTTCTAAAGTCACCGAGTTGTACAGGCCTAGGCCAGCTTTCAAGGAACCCCAAGAGGCCATGTCCTGACTTTGCTCCTCTTGGGCTGAAACCCAGAGACATGGCACAGCCTAGGTACTGCTGCCGCTCCTCTGAGTGCCTGCCCCCCAGCCCCATGTTTCCCCACAATCCTTTCCTCTGTGCACTGAGAGGGGCAGTAGATTATCCCTCGTCGCCCAGGACTAGGGCCCCGGTCTCTGTAAAGGCAAGTTCCTTGGGTTCTGTCTAGCCCCAATGCCTTGTTCATCCTCCCTGCAGTTCAGTGGTCACTCTCCCATCCACCCTGAGCTGGCACTGAAAATCCCCCTCTGCCAGGAAGCCTTCCTTCCCAGACTAACACAAAGGGAAGGGTAACTTTCCGACCCTTGTCTAGTAAAGAGGGGCCTCCCAAGGCATCTGGCTTCTTCAGCTGACCATCCATCTTATGAAGCCAGATTTTACTGCCAGCCTTTATGTTTCCTGCTGGTTCACCTGCTTTTGGCCATCTTGGGGCTTAAATCCCTGAGGGCAGACATAAGGTCTGTGTAAATCTCAACACCGTGCCACCTGCAGGTTTTCTGAATACACTCAGAAAAGCAGGGTTGCTGAACCACAGACATCTGTGACCTCTAGACCACATAGAATCACAAGAGGTGAGGGGATGGAGAGGTGATGCCAAAGAATGGGACCGAGGGCACTTTCTTACCCAGCCAAGGGCACCCAATGACATCTACCTGCCCCAGGCCAAAACCAGCCAGAGTTGGCTGCACCCGAGGTTAGGGTATCAAAGAGATTAAACACAACCTTTTATGACCTTTTAGAACCTTGGGTGAGAGGTGAGGGCATGTCATCCTGTCCATCCCAGGGCTGGAATCTCCCCTACAGCAGGGAGCATGGCTCGCCAGCTTCTATATGCTGCAGCCTGTCACAGCCTACTGTCCTCTCAGGCAGTCCTGCTACAGGTTAGCCCATCTAACCCCTTCTTCTTCCCAAGGCTCATACGAACAAGCTTCAAATGAGGAGCACCCCAGGTCTCCTGGGGGTAAGAGAGACCTGGGTTCATACCCAGGGATGGTAAGCTACCCTCCCCAAGCTGCCCTCCCTCCGGCTCCCTGGCTAGGATGGCAGGAGACACAACAAGGCCATGCCCCAGAGCCATGCATTCCACGGAAATCATTGGGCTGCATCTCTCAATTACTACCCCAGCCAGGACTGCAATTACCACATTACCCCTAATCGCTGAGTGTTTATTAGCGATGCTCCTCCCTATCAGAGCTGCTATTACTCTACATTAATAACCAGGTAGGCACACGAGGTTTCCTCTTGAACACAGACCACCCAACTGCCAGTGCCACCACCTCCCAGGCCCCAGCTCCAATGGGGCGAGGTTCATCCCCTCTGCTCCACCTTCGGCCAAACTCATGTCAGCAGGAGGCTGGGGGCAAACTGGGAGCAGTCCAGGCATGTGCGCAGGGTGGGGCGACACAGCCCTGGAGAGCAGGCAGGCTCCCTCCCTGACCTGCCCTTCTCTTCACTCTTCATGCTGGCCCAGACCCACGTCACCCAGGCAGCTTCGCACTTACACTTGAGCCCCGGGGTCCTCTTTTTGGTGAGGAACTGGCTCATGGTCTTGCAAGGGAGCCCAGCCTACCTACCCCATAGTTAGACCACACTGTCTACAGCAAGACTCCTAGCTTCCTCCTTATACTGTGTGAAATCTCTCTGTCCCTAGGTGAGGCTAAGCTGTCTCCTACAAACTTCTGAAGGCAGCTATTATGTGTCTCCTTTAGTTGTCTTTTTTCCTTTAAGCTAAATAACTCTCAGTTTCTTCAACTAATTCTCCGAGGCCTAGCTGAGGCGCTTCCCCACTAGATATTCCTTATGCATATGCATGAGTTCACTCAGGGCATCCCTCCATCAATCAATCAACAGGAGTATCTTCCAGCAGCAAGGCCCTGGGGACAGAGCTCAGAGTGGAAGCAGCAGCCAACCCCGTCCGCCTCGGCTCCACGCCTCTAAGCAGCCCGCTCTGCTGTCTCGTGCGCCCAGCTAGCTGGTACATGAGTGCGTAAGTGGGGAGCCCAAGGCACACAGGGCTCACTCAGGCAAGATTCCCCTAGACCACCTGGGGAGTGCGGGGCTCATCACAACTCTGCTCAACATGTTGGTGCACCACGTCTCACTCCCACCAAGAGTCCTTCACCTGAGCCCTCCTGTCCCCCTGGGTTTCCTCGCCATGGTGTCCACTTTTTAGTATGAGGATGAATGGGAAGATGATGAGAGCGCTTGCTAACTGCGCTGGGCCTGGTCCAAGCCCCGTCAGCTCCCCACCATTGCATGAGCTCCTGGAGGCCTTGCAGGCCGTCTGGGGTCAGTGGTTCCCCACTTTCCATATCAGATAAAGCCAAGTCCCCTTAGCTTGACATTTAGGGCCTTTAATAATGTGGACTTAATCCACTGGCCAGCTCTCTCTGCCACTGTGCAAACACCCCTACCCTATGCTTGCAACGCTCAAACTTCCTCACACGTCCCCCACCCGGCACCAATGTCTACCTCATTCCTCTTCCGCTCTGGAAATCCTACATTTCCCTCCAGACCCTGGAGCTCTGGTTTGCAGTGAGCAAGTGTTCAACAGATGTTTGTGGAATCACTTGACAAACAAATTAACTTGCCGCCTTCCAGTCCACCAGCAGCTTGTCACCCATGTCTGAGCACGCGGGGAATATTATGTGTATCTATGTGTGACTGGCCCTGGTTGGCTGCACCCCCTCTGCTGGGAAGCACAGTGCAGCAGGATGACATGGCTCCCCCGGCTTGTGCATGGAGCCTGCCTGATGCCTGGTGTCCTGCTTCATCTGGAAGGGCAAAGGGCAGGCCCCTGCTGAGTCTGGGTGATGTGTAGGACATTGACCAGAAAAGCAACTTGAAGCATGTGGGGGAGGTGGGCCCTAGACCTAGGTGGCGCTCCTCTGGGTTTTGCCCTGGGGACACACATGCAGGGGCCCAGGGCCTGGGCACTCAAAGCCCTCTTACCTCATTCTCCTCCTCATTGTGCAGTTGCTCGGTGTATGCATCTGGCTTTCGGATCAGAGGGTCCACCAGCATCAGAAAGGCCATGTAGAGCAAGAGGGCACCCACCACGGACAGGTAGATGACAATGATGACCTGAGGAAGAGACCAGCGTGCCTGTGAATCAGCATCTGGGGCCAGGGCTAGAAATCTGTTTCTAGTCTTGGGCCATCTGTGCCTGGCTGGCAGTGACTCCTCGAGTGGTGCACTAACAAAGGACTTGGAGGCAACGTAGGCTCAGAGGGAAAGCATGCCCTGAAAGGAAAGGGAGGGCCTACTCCACAGAGGAAGCACTCGGTCCTAACTTGAGGGAATCTGCACAGCAGGCATCAGGGCAGCAGGCAGATGACAGAGGAAGAAGTCCGGAGCCTGATGCCCTGAGAGGCTCGCGGGGCAGAGGTGGGAACACAGGGCCTCCCTGGCTGTAGAAGAGTCCATGATGAAGGGTGAAGCAATCAGAAACTAAGAGCAAGGAAGAACAGGCTGTGGAGAGGCTGGAAAGCTGAGACCAGGAAGAATAAACCTGGGCTGGGGGCTCATTGCTCCTGTGGAGAGCAGGACGGATGGGGCACGCTGGCCCACTCACAGCACGCCCCTGCGCAGAGTGGCTCAGGCTGGTAAGAAGGCGTGCACTGGGGGTGGAGGTCACGCCTGCCCTCCCACCAGCCCCTCTGCAGGGAGGGGAAAGCCAGGGCTAGAACAACAACTCCATGAATCTCTTACATACACAGTGCTTCACAAGCTGGAGTCATTTTGTTTTTACAGAAAAGATAGATTTAATGAGGCAAATTCAATGTTTCTCAATGTGGGTGCTCTGGGATTTTGGGTGGGACATCCCTGTAACGGTGTTGGTAACACACCTCGGTTATTGGGACCACAAAAGCACCTTCATCCGCTTCTAAATGCCCTCTGTGGGGCTGCAATCATCTGACTGAGAACTGCTGGGCTAGGTCACCCGGGATCCCAAGGCTACCAGACGGTGGAGGTGTGACTCGAACCCAGACTTGCTGACTCCCTCTCAAATGCCTTTCCTAATTCCACAGTGCCTGGCCATTGCTGGCTTCTGATCTCAGCCCTGCCCTGCCTAGACTGTGAACAAGAGTGAAAAAAAGAACCTCAGGACTTTCAAGCTGGGTGCCCAGCTCAGCCAATAGCCAAGTTCCACTGGACCAATGTCCCACCTGACTGGGGCACCGTGTTCACACCTGATTAAACAGGTCAAATAATCAGACCTCACCTGTACCCCAGGAAGGCGGAAGGAGAACAGAGGCTGGGTCTTCAATAGGCTGAAGCTGAGGGGCGCCTCCTAGGCAGGAGGATTGGGGGAAATGGGAGGGATTAGGAAGTTGTATCTGATGAGGTCCCCATGCCAGGAAGTTCCCTCCCGGCCAAAAGGGAGCAGCGACGACATCTGGCTCTGAATTTCAGGTCTCAGGCATCTGGTCCCTGGAGGGTGAGGCCCACTGGAGCAAGTTCAGAGAAGGAGAAAGACAGTTGCAGGAGGGGCTGCCTCAGGTGGGAGGATGAAAGGAGTTGAGTCTGCACAGGGCACTGGCTGGGAGCGGTGGAGGACAGACAGCTGCTTTGTCCCTGAGTGGTGAGAACACAGAGGAGCTACAGCACACGGCTCCCTGGAACAAGCAGGAAGGACAGCAGTGAAGACCACCGCCCCCCAAAATGTGCCTCAAAAGGAGAAACCTGATGGAGGACCCGGCAGTGCCTTTAAATATGAGAATTATTTTCCAATGCTATCTATAGACTCTTCAAAGGATAAGCAGAAAAAAGCTACAAACTGGAACAGAAAGGGCTACATTAGGCTGGACATGGTGGCTCACACCTACAATCCCAGCACTTCGGGAAGCCAAGACTGGAGCATTGCTCGAGGCCAGGAGTTTGAGACTAGCCTGGGCAAGATAGTGAGACCCTGTCTCTACAAAAAATTTTAAAAATTAGCTGGGTGTGGGGATGTACACCTGTGGTCCTAGCTAATCAGGAGGCTGAGGTGGGAGGGTTGCATGGGCCTGGGAGGTCAGAGCTGCAGTGAGCTGTGATCATGCCACTGGACTACAGCATAGGCAACACAGTCAGACCCAGTCTCTAAAACACACAAAAAAAGAGAGAAATGACTATGTAATCAGTGAGCACTGTGTGTACCAGGCGCCTGGCCCAGGATTGTTAGAACCTGGACTAGGAAGCTGCACTGGGAGGCTGGGGGTCATGGGGGTCTCTGCTAGGGCAGCTTCACAGCCTCCAGAAGACACAGGAAGTTCTGCCTGGTGCAGAGGAATGAACAGAGACCTCGTGACGTCTGTGGTGGTGACTGTGTCTATCATCTCTTTCCTGAATTCACCCAAATAATCAATGAGAACAAGGTTCAGGAAAACACAAAAGGACCAATCTGATGTTCTCCCAGCACCCAATATCCAGCCCTAGTTCACAGCTCTGACGCTTTTTACAGGAGCTTAATTAGACTAAGCTCCAGGAGGGCAGGCCAACCTCCCCATTGGCAGCATCTGCCCAGAATATAGCAGGCACCGAAAAGAGATTTACTGGATGAACAGAAGGGAGAGGAAGGAAAAAAACTGGAAAGAATGCAGGGAAAAGGGAGTCTCCAGCAGCTCTCCCAGGGCTCTCCCCTCTCACTGTAATGGGAACCACTGGAAAGAGAGCAGAGAAGGGAGCTGGCTCCAGGAAGGTGTGGGATGTGGGTCCCGGTGTCTGTACTAGGCTAGCCTAGAAGCCAGTCTCATAGCCGTTGGAATGTTCCAGAATAAAGTGAAAAACTGTGGGTGTAGGCCAGCCCGCGATTGGGGAATGGAGTGTGGGAATCCCACTGGCTTCCTGAGACCCTGGCATTACCTTGATGGTGGTGGTGCTGCGCTCCTCATACCTGCACTCACACAGCAGGCAGTAGGCCTCCACGTCATGGCCAGGCACCGGCATGGGCTCCACCACGTGCAGGCAGTTGCTGCAACAGAGACAAACAGGGCTGTCGAGGCAGGGCCACCAGGTCTTAAAGCCTCAAGACCAGGGAAGCAGGCAGCCAGGGGAGTTGAGAGGTAGGGACTGGGAAAAAGTGAAGGGTGCTCCCAGAGAGGACTGAGGGCTTATAAAGGATCAGACTGGCAGAATCCCTTCCCAACCCAAAGTCTCATAGCCCATGCCCCTTGCACATCAAAACCAGCTCTCCAAACTACCTACAGTGTTGGCACCAAAACCATCAACGTTCCCAGAGTTCTACCCCCAGCCGCCTTCCTCATCTCATGCTATGTTTTCCCTCCATGTGCTCATCTGTCCCAAAGGTTTAACTCAGAAGCTGACGGATCTTAGATCACAATCTCCAGCCAGGGCCACTCTCCTCTATAAGCTACAGGAGTCACTATTTGCATGTCCCATAGAGACTATGAACTCTACACCTGCCCCTGCACACCCTTTGCCCCCCACTCCCTACTCCTGCAAACCGGCTCCCCATTCGCAATGGCAGAGAACACCTCTACCATCCACTTCACTGTCTGGGTTAAACCCTGGAAATCATCTTTGACACTGCCTTCCTCTCATCTATGAATCCACCAAAGGCCAGTGATTTTACTTCCCTAAAAATTCCTAGAATTCATCTCCTTTATTATTTCCCACTGCTGTGTCTTAGCTCAGGCCCTCATTCTATCTTCCTTGGACAACTGCGCCAGCCTCCGCACTGCCCTCCTGCCTCTAGTTTGGCCTTTCTAACATGTACTACCTTCCCACGGCAGCTGAGTAGTCTTCCAGAATGCAACTCTGGTCATGTCATTCCCCAGCTTAGGCCGGGTCAGTGCCTCCACAGAGCCCCTAGGGCCAGTGCTAACTCAATTACTCTGCCGGGGGTCCCAACCCACGTCACTACAGTTCCATCTCCTGCTACGCCTCCCTCACCCACTTTCCCATCCTCCAGTCACATGGATCTGCCAGGCTGCTCTCTGAATGAGCCACACTCACACTCTCACCAGGAGGGCATGGCTTTGCCACCTCGTCTCATCTTTTAACTCTCAGCTCAGCTGCCTGTGCCCAACAGCCAGCTCCTCCCAACCCCCCACCAATGCACTGCACTGGAATCCAATCTTTATTTGTGCTGTCTCCCCAGGAGGTGTACGTTCCTCGAACACACGGTTACGTCTTATACATCTCCATATTCCCAGTGTCTAGCTGGGTGCTCGCCAGAGCAGGTTCAGTAACTACATGATTCCTAAAGGAAGAGTAGACCCACTTAGCCCACTTTCATCTAACAGCACTCTTGCATAAGGTGGGATAAAGATCTTAGGTTCCACATCTAAAAACAGGGAAAGAGGCTTAGGAGGCAAAGTGGCATCTCCACAGTGGTGGTGAGGCCAGAAACCAAATCCAGATCCTCAGCCACATGTCTTTACTTCTGACTCAGCCTCAGTGGGGCCTGGGCTGGTACCTGGCTTGCCTCAAGCCTCTCATTCCCAGCCTTCCTCAGATCAGCATGGTTCCAACCCGTTGGGTTCATGGACCACACTGAGAAAGCAAAAAACTCTACAGAACGCACTTCATCACTACCAATGGAAAAAACCAAACTCCTCGGGGGTGTGCAGAGGTGAAGCAGGTGTCATGCTGCAGTGCACCTGGGCTCTGTCCTGGCTCTGCCACGAAGTGTTCATATCCTGGGCCTGTCCTCTTCTCTGTGAGATAAAGCAGTTGCACCAGATAATCTTTAAGAAGACCTTCCAGCTCTGACCGGTGTCCTGCAAGAGTCAAGCACAGCTCCCTTCTGAGCTATAGGGCTGGGTTTCTGGCAGAAGCATCAAGGGTGTGTGATATAAAGATCATGTGTTGGAATAAGAATGGGATGTGCTCTAAAAGACTCTGTTCTCCTAAAAATCCATATGTAGCATACAAGAGTTTATCTAAACCTTTCATGATCCAGTTCCATCTCTGTGTCCAACATGTTACTTACTCCCTGCTGTTAGCAGGTCTCCCCTGTTGTAACTGAAAGTACTGCTTTCAGGCCTTGCACGCTGTTTCCTCTGGGAGGGAGGGGTTGAGGGGCAAGGCCAGGGTCACCCAGGGTGCTTGGTTGTCATTCCTGTCCAGAGGGAATGCCATCTTCCCTTCTCCAGGAAGTCTCTACGAGCCTCCAGATTCCTCCCTTACGTGAGCTACATTGGGTCTTGGGTCTAGGTCATACCAGTACTGCAGTGGGATTTATGGATTTCTCACAAGGCCAAGGTGTCAGGGGCAGTTTGGAAGGGCGACCTGAGTTCTTCACTGTGGGATCCTGCTACCCAGGGAAACAGCAATGAGGAGCTGAAATACTTCTGCTGTCTCCAACTCTCCCGTGATAGTGGGCAATTTATTTAACTTCTCCAGCCCTCGGTTTTCTCATTTACAAATGGAGACTGAACTTGGTCAGTGTCTTCCAAACTGTACTCTTTTGGGACCCATAGGAACCACTGTACGATGGGGTGGTAGTCAGGGAGGGGCCGAGGGACACTTCCCTCTCAGCCAGAGCAATTCCGACTTTATGTTTTATAGATTTTGTTTCTAAAATTGATTTTGTTTGCAGAGAAGTTCTATTTTAACAAGTCTGAAAGGTAAGGAACTAGCCAACTTATTAAGTGTCTTCCTGCTCTGGGAGTGTCTCTAATAACACATCCCTTGCCAGACCCACCAATAGGGCAAAATTGGGGTTTCTGCCTTTTTTGTGCATACAGTTATAAACTCTCAACACTAGATGGCAGGATACCAGTAAACATAGGAACATACATGGCTTGGCCACTAAACCTGAGGACCGCATCTCAGATGATTCTGGCTTTACTCTTGCACAACCAAGGGGAAGGGTGCAAGTGTTCTTTAGCAGTGGACCAACGTGACAGCAAAGTGAAAACGTGGCAGACACTAGAAGACCCACTCAAACTGGCCTCCTGTAGCGCTAAGGTACTCAGATCAATGTCAAGGCCCCACCCTACCCTTAAGAGGCTCCAGGCAAGCACATGACGACTCCCAGTCAAAGTCAGTGTCACTGGGTCCCAGACTCCTGGAGTCTTTCCTCTAGCCTCACCCACCACCCTTAATGGAGCTGCCCTGAGGTTCCTGATGTAAGGCTATTCATCAGGCAGCCCCTTAATTCTGACTTCTAAGGGGAAGAAGGAGATAAACTATAGCCTGAGAGGTCTAGACAAGACTCCGTCCTCTGTAGGCATCCAACCTTGGGTTTTCAGGCCATCTACAGCTCCAGGACAGAGAGAGTGTTCCTAAATTTGCAAGTGTCTGCCTGCACAAGGAGTGTGGGATATAGCCTTGTTATCTGGTGAAGGGCTAAGACAGCCCATCAAAGTTTTTACTGATGCTATTTGAACTATAACCACAAGATACAAGGGGGTTACCTGGACTTCTCCTAAGTAGAAGGCTAGTGCTTCAGGAGGAGCCTGTTTTCTCAGTCTGTGGTGTAAGTTTGACCATGACTATCTATGTGGCCACCAGTAAGGCATGATATCAGCTAACATTAATATCATTAATGTTAAAGACATTAATATCAGCTAACATTTATATAAGCACTTACTATGTGCCAGGTATTGTTCTAAGTGCTATAGTTACCTGTGCACACACACGCACAACACACACACAAACACATACTTAACACTCAAAATACTGCCACTATTTACAGTAAGGAAATCAAAGTGCAGTGGAGACTAAGTAATCTGTCACACAATTAACAATCGGCCAGGCTAAATTTGAAGTCAGGAAGGTTGAACACAGAGTCTGTCTATCTAACTAGACTGCCTCTCAGAAAACCACAGAGTCTCAGAGTTGGAAATCCAACTAGCTTCAAAATTCTTGAGCGTTGCTCCAGATCAACTGTGTCCTAAGCACCAAAGGAAAGAAAGGTTACTGCTTCCCCCCACCCTCACTCCATATTTGAACAATCAAAATCGGGGGGTGGTGGTGGTACCGGGAATCTGTATTTTCTCAAAGCTCATCTGCTTTCAGAAAGCAGGAGAGGCAGCACTGACCCGGACCCCTCATCTGGTGTTGATCTCTTCTATAGTGACCTCGGCCCATCTGTGCTCGGGGCCCTCCAAGTACAGAGATTCCTGACTCCTAAAACTGCCTAGATTCGAAATGCTCCCTCAACTCATGCTTAAGTCGGTTTCCCTGAAGCTTTGGCTCCAACTCTACACCAAGAAACCCCACTGAACGTAACTGATCCCCACCAGTACCTGCTCCCACAGGTCCCACTTCCTATAACATGCCAGCCCTTAATCAATCATCGTGCGCCCCCAAGTCCTCTCCTCTTTAGGCTCTCCTTGCTTCCTTAAGCCATTCCTTCCAGGACAATGTGTTGAAACTTCCCTTCACTGCACTAGTCTCCTTTCTCTGAATGAATTCTGGGTTATTCTTCTCTTTTTAAAAGTGAGGTACCCAGAAATGAATTCAAGACTCTAAATTATTTCTTTGGGCCTCTGTCTCTGCTATTATAAAATAGGAGCAAAATCCATCCCACCTACCTTACAAGGATGCTATGAGACTGGCACAGAATATCACATGTAACAACTTTGCAAAAGCATTAGGTATCCTACAGTATGTGGTCAGAATACCTACGTCTCCCAACTTCTCTACTACCATTCTGTATGCATCACTAAAGACCAATATTCAAAGTAAAACAACAAAATCTGCTCCTCTAGCCAGGGACCACCCAGCTGGAATTCAAGACACCTGGGTCCTGTTTCCATAGACAGTTGACAACTATGAAATTGGTTCTGTGACATGAATAATTACTCCTTTGAAAGGCTCTTCATAGGAATGGGAGAGCATGCTTATCCTCCAGGGTCCAAGAACTCTAGTAAACACCCATAACTTCAGCCAGGTATAGCAGCCAGGGGCCTGTGTGTAATGCCTTACCAGTCCTTCTGGGACACATTCTGGTTATAAATGTGCCCACTGATGTTTCTATAAGGTGGACAAATGCATTTGCACCGGATGTCTTCAGAACTCTGGAAGAGAAAGCACACGTCAAGTATGCAGAGACTCTGCCTGGGTTCAGGTTCTAGCAAGGTTGTCAACTTTCTGTTCCCTATCCTGTTAGGTGAACCATATCTATGCTCTTGAGCTTTCTCCATCCCCAAGTTCAAGTCCAGCAAGAACTGCCACTGCAGGAGGCAAGCTACAGCACAGGGTCCTAAAGACAGAAAATGTCCAGGCAGCAAATGAGACTCACAGAAAGTTGTCTAGGCCTGCGAGTCCCAAAGTAGGTACTTAGAGGAATCGGGGGAGAGGGAAGGGGGGAAATGCGTGTGAGTGAGTGTGTGTGTGTGTGTATGTGTGTGTGTAGTGAAGTGGCAGTCCTCTACCCCGGACCCCACACTTGTGTGTGCACCTCTGTCCAGTGGACTTGGCAGCCAGCCTCTTCCCCACATTCCATCTCCAACTTCTTTGGTAGGATTGGGGAAACATAAAGGGCAAGGGTAAACAAGAAAAAGTGGGTCATTTCTGTGGGCATACTCAAGCAACCCCTTTGAAAGTTCTTCCCTTCTGGAATGAGTAAGAGATACTACCATAAATGTCTTTATTAATTAGGAATTCTGAGGAGAGAATGGAAGCAAACCCCTGGCCTTAACCTTACTTCAAAGCCTGGATGATCTTTAGTTCCACAGATCTATCCAAACAGCTCCATAGGAATGTAGCCTTAAAGAATGGAAGTTATCTCAGGAGTCCTAGAACTTAGGTGGGTTACCCTTAATAATGGAAACTTCAAACTGTATAGGACTTTACACTGACAGGGCATTTTTACATTGTTATGTAATTTGATTCTCCCTAAGCAGAGTAACAGATACAACTGCTGCTACAGGTGGCAGTACTAGCATCCCTAAAACAAAAATTCAAAATGCCCCCAATCTCAAACTTGTTAAGCACGGACATGACCACAAAGATGATGTTAACACTGCAGAAAAGCACCTATAGACATGGTAAAAATGTGTCATGGGCTTCTTGAAATACTACAGCAGAGTGCATTCATAACAGAACAAGAAATCGTGTCAGTCTATAAAATCAAAAAGACTTCTAAGACAAAAGCTTGTTAATGAATCAGGTGACTGGCAAAAACATTTTTAAAAGCCGTCTGGCAGAATGCCTTCTCATCTCTAGAGAACCCACTTTCTGGTCCCTCTACGGCTTCAAATACTACTTCTCACCTAAAAAAAATACTGTGCACAGTAACCTTTAATCAAAACAGCGTCACAGCAGGAGACAGAAAGCCTGATGCTGCTGTGTCTAGCAGCTGATACAGGTATTCTGGTGATGCTACTGTGCTACCCCGAACACATCATTTATTTTCACTGTATTAATAGTACATCATATTTTTTACTGTTAAGAATGTATTTGTAAGAAAATATTTATCGGTAGCATATAAATTCATTGTCAGGAACGGTGGTGATGCCAACCAACCAGACTATCCACATGGGCGCCTGAGATAGTGACACCTTTGCTTTCTCATGGTTCAGTGTAGATAAACTTTGTTTTATGCACAAAATTATTGAAAATACTGTATAAAATTACCCTCAGGCTATGTGTATACAGCATATATGAAACATAAACGAACTTCAGGTTTTGACTTGGGTCACCTCCCCAAGATACCTCATTTTGTATGTGCAAATACTCCCAAATCCAAAAATATCTGAAACGAAAAATACTTCTGGTCCAAAGCAAAGGAAGGTACGAAGAACTTAGATAACTTCTCCAAACTTCCTTGCTGGAAGTCCACCACTGATCTGTCTGATCCAGAGTGAGTCAGTGCTCTGTGCCCCATCCTCTTCCCCCGCACGATCCTTAGAGAGGCCAGCAGCCTTGAACCTGAAGGAAGACCACTAAAAAAAGTATGGCCCATAGGTGAGTGAGAGGCAGGCTTAAGGAGCAACTAGCTACCTCTGAGTCAGCCCTGTAGACAGGGTGGCCGTGCACGGTGGTCGGCGGTCGTGACCAGGTGCTGCAGGCTCACCTCCCTCACCTTGTTGGCTTCAGCTGGGGGCACCAGCAAACACCCGACCACAGCCACCAAAGATAAGAGCTTCATGCTTATCAAGCTTGCTGGGCCAGCAAAGCCGGACACCTGGAAAAAGAGATACGGAGTCGGAGAAGGGGAAGGCGGCCACGCCGCAGCCAGCACGCTAGGCCCTTAACCATCTTGCCAAGAAGTGGGAATGGGGGGGGGGGGGGGGCTGGGCTCCAGGATTCCAAGGCCTGCTAAACTCGGTCGCCAAACCCTGCTTTCCATCCCGCACAACTCTCCGGCTCTCCGCCGGCCACCTGGTGGGCCCGGCAGAGGGGGCCTCGAGAGGACACCGCTGCCAGGGGCCTCCAGTTCCTTCTCAAGGCCCGGCTCTGACCCGCGCATCACGTCCCACTGCCCTCCGCCATCTCCGCCTCTGCCCGCCCCGCAGCTCCTCCCCGCTCGGGCCCGACGGGAACTTTTGGGTGCGAGTCTGGGACCCCTGCTCCGACGGCGAAGGCCGGTGCCCACCACGCCCAGAGGTTTTAGGCCAGACTGGGACCCCCAGTACCCCCGCGACCCCCGTCCCCTCCCCCAATGCCGCGTCCACGAACCTGCAAGCCCGCCGCAGCCGCAAAAGACCCAGCGGGCCCCGCCCTCTCCTAGCTTCTATTGGCTGCCAGAGGAGCTCGTTAGCCCAACCGCGCTGTCGCCATGGCAGCAAGACCCGCCTTCACCTGGGGTGGAGACTCTTGCGCAAGGGAGAGGCGGGCATTTCTCAAACCCGACCAAATCAGAAAAGGGAACGTCAGCCTTCCAAACTCCTGGGGAAGGGTCTTGCCTTTGTGTGGCCTTAGAATTCCCACTGCAGTGCTTCTCCCTTCCTTGTATCATAAAACTCAGCTTGTTTCATCTTGCTGTTTTAGAGAGAAAGCGCTTTATGCACTGTAAGCTAGTAACAGCAACAAAAACGATATGAGATTGAAGGGCTTTGTCCTCATTCAAAATCTGGAAATGATATTTAGGGATCCACGTCTTTGCTACAGAGGACTTTCAGCGCGGCAACGTCTCTACCCCTACACACACACCTGAGAAGGAGAAATCGAGGGTTGGAGAGGGGTTGGTGTGGGCTGGGCCTGTGAAGAGTGTGCACAACAGCGTCCTTAGCCTGGTCCCCCTACCCCATGCTGGTGCTGGGCCTGGCAAAATGGGGCAAAGTGTGCATGGCCAGGATGCAGGGGTGGGGGTCCCCAGCTGCTACAGGGCAGGTGTGAACTTCTTGCCAGCTGTGAAGGAAAGAGGACTCATCTGAATTCAGGGCACCAGACCTGGAGTGAGGACACCGGGGCTTTGGCCCTGGCCCTGCCCCTGCCCCTAAGCAGCTGTGTTAGCCTGGAAAACATACCTCCCTTTTCTGGGCCTCAGCTTCCCTTACTTCACTTATCTGTAAAATGATTTGGTTGGATTATAAGATCCCCTTCAGCTTTGATGTGTTGGGATTCCTTAGGGGTGGGTGGGAGGGGTATCAATATGGCCCAAACTTGAGGTTGGTGGCTGGATTAGCATATGGGCTGGGTCCAGGTGGAATCAAGCCCCTCGAAGGCCCTGTGAACTGAGGTGCGCACTTATCTGGAGGTCGTTGAGTTTGTGTTCCTCTCTCCTACGCTTATGCCTTATTCCTCTTTATATCCTTGCCACCTGGCAGAGTGACCTGCGCTTGGTGGGTGCTCAGGAAGTGTTTACTAAACTGAATTATATAGAATTAAATTAAACCTAGTTGCCAGGGAGCAGGGACAGGAGGCCTGTGGTGTGATGCAAAGGTCAGGGGCTTTGGAGCTAGAGTGACCAGGGCAGGAATCCTGGTTCTTCCCTTCCTAGTTGTATGAATTTGGGTGGTTTCCTTTAGGACACCGCCTTTGGGTCTTTGGAAGTCTTTGGAATCCTTTCGGAAGTCTTGGTTTCCATGCCCATAAAATGGGATTAATATTACTAAATTTTCAAGGTGGTTGTGGGGATATAATGAGTTTACATGTGCAAAGCACCTAGAACAGCATCTGGCACAAAGAGGAAGGCTCTATAAATGGCAATGTTAGCTCATTGTGGAGGTCAGAATGGCTGCTTTGGTGAGCAAGCTCAGGCAGAGACAGGATGCCTACCTCGTGGGGGCAGAAGAGATAGTTCAAGTACTGGAAAAAGACACTTCTTCCCCCCATATACGTTCTATGTGGAGGTGGGGACTTTCATGGGGACAAAAGCATGGGACTGAGTCTATCACCTCCAATGGATGACCCTCTGACAGACAACACTAAAGATGCCCAATGCTGAGCTCACCATTTTCCTCATCAAACAGAAGGGAGGCCTTCAACTGTCATTCGGCATTTCTGCAGCTCCTAGATTATGGCATCAAACTATCTTTGACTCCTTTCTCCTATTTCCACATCTTGTCTATCCAGGTGTCCCCAAGAAGTAGCTATTGTCACCCTGCCTATATCTTTCCTCAGCTAGCATTCTGCTCCCTGAAATGCACTCCCTTCCTGTGTCCTCCTAGTTTCATCCTATCTTTCTCTAATTCTGTTTTCAGCACATCGCTCATTGCTCAATAATCTCTGGTAGCAAGCACCCTGTTGCATCTAATTCAGACCCCTCCACTTGGCAACCAAGCCAAGTGGTTACCATTTCTGTGCTTCCCCACTCCATCTCATCACTGGTTACTCCCCCCACTGGCTGTCCCTACATTTGACTTTGCTCATTGCAGTCCTCCATAGGATATTATCATGCCTAGCCCTGCCAGTCCTTATCTTTCATCTAATTCAACTCTCTGCCCAAGCACTTGCCTTGCAGAAGCTTTTCCCAAATAGTCCTACCTGACCCAGGGCACTTCGTTCCCATGCATCCTCCATGTGCCCTGCATTTATGAGCCATGCCAGTGAAGTTAGTCTGAACCTATTCATTCAATTTAATTCCATAAACATGTGCCAAGTGCTATCTGTGAGCCAAACTCCAGGGCTCACAGATGCTAGGTACCCCAGGGATACAATAGACAAATCATATGTAACTCTGCTTTCAAGTAATGCACAACCTAATAGGAGACCAATCACATGGTCGGAATGTGGCATGAAAAGTGATGTGTTGTAGAAGTGAAGCAGCCTTGTTGTCTGTGGTGACACCCAAGGTTTGTTGTCTCCAGGCCATGAAGATCAAGGATGCACTCACACACAAAGAGTGAGGTTAAGAGTGGAAATTTAATAGGTGAAAGAAAGAGAACAGCTCTCTGCTACAGAGTGGGGTCCTGGAAAAATGGGTTGCCGATTCGAGGTGAAATGCAGGGGGTTTTATAGATGAGCTAGTGGGGAGATGGTATCTCATCTATACAGGGCACCTCAAAAAAAGTTAGCCCCAGGTGTGCCATCTGCATAGGGCACAAATCTCTGGCAGCCCCCAGCCCAATCTTTATTATGCAGGTGGCTTCTCTGCCTGAGCTTCTCCATGTTGCCCGGTTCTTTCTTACTGTACATGTGCTAACAATAAAGGGAAGGTAGAGCCCCATGGTGAACATGCCTGGCCCCCTGGTAGCCCTTTTCTATGAGTGCAGCTGCCAGCATTTCCCCATGCAAGCTTCCAGCTTCCTTATATATGTTTGCAGCCCAATCTTTCAGGCTGCTCTGTGTTAGAAAAGAAATGATTTCCAGGACTGCTTCTTATTAGAAGGGAAGTTCTGCTAAGGACTTTTTTGTCCTTGCTATCTGCCTAAATAATTTCTATCTCCTGTATCAGAAATGCTTTTTCCCTTCAAAAATTTTTTGAGCACTGTGCTAGGTGCTGGGGATATCTCAGTAAATAAGACAAACCCTGTCCCTGTTCCCACTTAACTTGAGGTTTATTGCAAGAAAATGACAAATCAATAAGCAATGACAATTCAGGGTGGTAAGAGCTGTGCTGGGGAAAGGCTGCAGCGGCACTTGGGGAACCTAGACCAAGGGCCAGGGGAGCCCAGAATGGTGGAGAGGGGGCTTTGAGGGCAGTGAGGGCTACTTGGGCTGTGCCAGAGTGGTGGGGGCAGAACAATGTCACACCCCCAAATGTCCACATCCTAATCCCTAGAACTTGTGAATATTGTCTTACACAGTAAAAGGCACTTTGCAAATATAATTAAATTAAGGTCCTTGGTTGGGGAGAGTGGCTTGGATTATCCAGGTGGGCCCAATCTAATTAGATGGCTCCTTAACAGAGGAACCTTTCCTGGCTGTGGTTAGAGAAGGAGATGGACGTGGAAGTAGGGTCAGAGAGATGCTATGCTGCTGGCTTCAAAGATGCAGGCAGGGGGCCACAAGACAAGGACTGTGGGTGCTGCAAAATCTGGTAAAGGCAAGCCAGTACAGTCTTCCCTAGAGCTTCTAGAAGGAATACAGCCCTGTAGACACACTGATTTTAGTTCAAGAATACCTCTGTCAGACTTATGGCCTACAGAGCTATCAGATAATACATTTGTGTTGTGTGAAGCCACCAGGTTTATGGTAATTTGTGACAGCAGCCATGGGAAACAAATACTGCCAGGAAGGGGATGGGCAAAATTTGGGACACAATTCAGGAGGAGGGTGATAGTGAGGAGGGCATTCTGGTGGGGGACGGGGGCAGTGTAGGGAGAGCAAAGATATGGCACTGGGGAAGTGAAGGGAGAGGCATGTAGAAAAATAGCTAAAGATTCAGTTTGGCTTGATGCCAGGACGAGCGTATGGGAAGGGAGGGCAGGGAGCCCAGTGACATCAGAGTCAGAATGTGAGCCAGGAGGGGGCAGGGAGCCCCTGGCTCAGGGCTCATGGAGAGGGTGGAGGCCAGGTAACGTCAGCAATGCACTCTCTCCAGCAGAGGAGGCCTAAGGAAGCTCTGGAGCCTTCCACTGCTTCCTCTCAGGACTTAGCCTTCATCCTGCCCCCAAGTTTGGAGCTCTAGAACTCAGGCCAAAACCCATACCCTCTAGCTCATATCTGGTTTTATCCAATAACCCTAAAATCAGTTTGACTTTATGAGGCGAAGTCTTGGCATCCATGCCACAGCTGAGGGTCTGGGTTCCTCCTCACTCCCTGTCCCTACCATTGGTGCTCTTGGATAGGGGATGAGCGCTGTCATTACTCCCAAATGGTGTCTACTCTCCCTGGCATCAATTATATGCCCCTGCTTTTCCTCTAATCCCCACCAAAGCTTATCTGTCCAGTGTCTCATCACCTCAAGCTCCTATGAGATGATTAACTTCCTAATTTTTGCATTAGCAACCACGTCCTAGACACACTAAAAGATCATCCAGCCTAAACAGAGAACAAAGCTCAAATGACGGAATACAGATATGTGTTAACACTCTCAAAGGGGCAGTAATGTGGGGGTACAAAGGAGTGCTTGACCCACCTCTTATAGGACATTGCCCTCTAGCCACAGATGGCAGGTCAGGTACCTGACAATGTCTTTGAAATAGTATGGGCACCATCCTTGGATACCTGAGTACCTCTTATCTCTCTGGCTGTAGCAGGATTTCTCAGGCATCAGAGAAATGGGGGCAC